CCCCCCCCCCCTTGGAAAAAAGCCTTTATACACCATTGGCTTCCCTAAAGCTGAGGCTTCAAGGTTTGTTCTCTTTGTCGAATATGAATAATGAATGTATAATTCATGTTAAATACAAATTGGACCCATTAAGCTGATATTGATTGCAAGAAAAAAAGTAAGAAACAAAGACGATATGTTGAGCTGTAGAATAACTAGATATAGAAATATTGATTGATTAATTGGCGGCTAGGACAGGCTAGGGGGCCGAGCGCTGCGGCCACATATATCAAATTGACAAAGGGATAGCCGATATGTGGGGTTAGGTTTGGTTAAGACACATTCTTGGCCGAGTACTGCACTTCTTAACAATTGTACATCAGACCTACGAAATGTGTACATCTTTCCATACATATGTGTACATCTGACCTTTAAAATGTTTACATCTGACCTTTAAAATGTGTGCATCCGACCTACTAATGTTGTGCATCCGACCTACTAATGTTGTTCATCCGACCTAGAAAAGGTCTGCATCCAACCTACAGTTTAGTGTGCGACCGACCTATACAGTAGGTTGGATACACTGACTTTTTTCATTTGAGTGTGTATCCGACATACAGTTCATCGGACCAGCAGCAGCTAAAAGCTGCTGAAAAACCATGTGCTTGTAGGTCCTAATAATCGTAGGACGGTTATAACGTTGGGCAGATGTAATACAATCGAAATAATTTTACATAAATGTATTTATATATATCACATTAACTCGTCAGTTGATTTAAGTTGGGATTTGGGTTAAAAAGTATAAATCATTAAATGAAATGAAACTTTCAAGCAAGCAAAACAATATTAATTAGAGAAGACGACATTTGTTTACAATCTTTACCAAACAAAGTGCGAAGATTTTCCGATGCTGCATCTTTATATAGAAGGTCTTTGATCCCAAGATATGATATGCTAAATGAAGACGACATTTCTTCTGTCTAGTTCAAGGGACAGCCCTCCCAAACAGCTGGGCGTATTCAGGAGTTTGTCCAGGGGGGGCTTAAATTTTTTTATCTTTCCAGGGGGGGACTCACCAACCGTTGGGGCCTGAAAACCCCCGGAAATCAATATATTTCACTGGTCCAGGGGGTGGGGGGTTTAGCCCCATAGCCCCTCCCCTGAATACGCCCCTGCTGCCAAATACAATAACAAAAATACAAATTCAATAAAAATAGGTAAAAAAATATCATCACCCTCCCCCACACGGATTTCCAAATGAGTAATCTTTTTCGACAATGTTTTAAAGATTAAAAGTTTAAGACGACATTAAAAAATATTATTAAATGGGAAAATTGAGGGAACAAAGGAAACTCCATCTAATCGTCAATAATGTCTACAAATACACCATAATTTTTACACTCATCACTATTTTCCTTTTCATTTAAAAGCTCATAATTGGGTAAATTATAGGTCCTCACATAAAAGTAACTTAGAACCAATTTTAATAAATAAATATGTTCTTCATGGTATTTTTTTTTTGTACTTTTGCTTGGGCAAAGTCAAAGCTAATTTGTTTAGGAATCAATCTTATCTTCGGATTAATATAATTCCTCTTCTATATCCTGTGCATTGATCCTCAAACTTAAAAGTGCACACTTAGGATATAGAGATCAAGTTTTCAGGATTAACAATATCCAAATAAAAGTTCTGATATCAGACCCTACATGGATATCTCGTGATAACTTTAATTTATAGGAAAATAGCATGTATCCTCAAATTTTAAAGTGTCCAATCGGATATTGAGATCATGCATCCAAGAATAACGATAACTAACAATATAGTGCTGGCTTAATAAGTTACAACCTAAAATCATGATTTAGAGACATTTAAAGCATATTAAAAAAAAATATATAAAAATGAATTCGATACTATGGTTTAACAAGATTTTCTTGTTCTTTCTTTATAGTAGAAATACCGCAATGGATTTTTTTTGTAACTGTTTCATCTAAAAATATTTAATGAACAATTTTCAGAGATATATTATACAAAGCAATAACTAATTACAAAATTCTTAGTCTTATTGTAACTGAAAGAAATAATTAAGTTGAAAGCCATTCAACAATTTGTATTGATCCAAACTAAAGAACTTGACGTGGAGGTTTCAAATTAACGGGTTTTCAAATGTATTTTCTCGGGGTATACTTATTTTCAAATCTAGTTTTAAAAGAAGGTTTGTGTTTCATTTACATGAATGTATTTCGAATTACTATACACCAAAATATTTCTTGATAACAAAAACCCCTGCACATTAAATTTTCCAAGTTGACTTATTTTTTAATTTGTTTATTCAAACCTTTTTTGGCGTTTTTTCTTATTTAGATCAGAAACCTTCCCAGTTTCTTTTCCCATCAAGAACTGAACACTTGCCTCAAGCAGATATTCTCTAATTTCTTTGAAACCTGATGTCGTAGATATTTCAAATTCCAAACTATTAAATCGTGTAGACCTATGATAGTAAAACATTATAAATGTCAAAGTTTACACTCTATATCTCAGGTTGCAAAGATATATAAAATTTAGAATCAAAGTTCCTTTGTAAAAAATGTACAAAAAAAATAAAACAAAACTATAAAATTTATTTTGAACTGTAGAACAGAGGTGCGAACAAGAAGTACATAAATAAAAATACACAATCTTATTTTTATTCAGAACTATCTAAATAAATTCTTCTTTTGTTGGATTACGTCCAGTTTGATTTCATGTATACAACACCTCTACTGTACATGTTCTGCAGTACAGTTAAAGCCCTGAATGGTTAGAAGGTCGGAGACTGAGGTTGCAAGTAAGGATTTGTACAAACGTTTTCCGGAAATCCCTGAAATTTATATATTCTAGTTTATTTCCGTAAAAAATATGTGTTTTCAAATCATCGACCTAATTCTATTTTTTCCAATTTTGTTTCCTAATTTTGATATTTTTGGTTCGTTATTTATTCATACTTCCTTCTTCAGTTCTATGCATGAGCTCAGATTTATAATTTGAGTTAGAGATCCAACGAGGTTATGGTGTATAGAGTGATGATGTACTGCATATTTGTTTATTATAAGTTGATTCTGGCCTAACCTATAGTATATTAATATTAGTAAACAGTTGTAAGTGTACAGTACAGCTTACTGAGAACACAGGTAGAGAACTATCATCCCCCCTGAGCCCAAAACTTAAGACAGGGTATCATTGTGAAAACCAGTTTTAGAACCCGGGTTTCACGAATGGGGTTATGACAGTTTTGTGTTTATCAATATCATATTCTCAATTTTTTTCGAATCTCTTAAATCAAAATCTACACAAATGTTAAGACCCCAAGAAGTAAACTTGGGAGTTTAGTTCAACGATACTCTATTAAACTCCTACATTAAACTGATAACATTTTGGTATTTTTCAGATTATGTTCTTTCACCCTTTTTATATCTTACCTTATAAAATAATATACTTAAGAATTTTTCTGAAAGTTTAATTTTTCTAAATTCTTGTTAAACTTAAAAGTTTTCTTCCAATTTATAAAAACCATTCAGCCATTTTAAAACTTCTTGATTACAAAGTTTGCAGAAAATACATAATCTAAAAAGAATGCTGAGGCTGAATTTAAAGCATTTGAGCCGCGGCTTAGATTTGAGACGCGGCTCCAATATGAAATTGGTTCCACTTAAAATTGTATTCAATGTTTCAAGATTTAGGCTAGCGCTCAATTGAAACCGGTTTTTGGCGAATTTGAGACGAGGCTCAAATTCATTAAATTCGGACTCTGGCTCCCAAAAGTTAAATTTACTTAGAAAGGAAGAGGGGGGGATGCTGAAGGGACAGGGTGGTGATTGGTGAAGGGCCGGTGAGTGTGGGGGGGGGGGGTGAAAGTAAATTTGAAGGTGAAATATGAATTTGTCACAAAGTGGGTTTACACTAAAAGGATTCTGGAAACAAATCAAGAAATCTATAGATTTAGATATTTTAAAGGTTTTGATATTTTGACATAGTGCAGAGCCTGGGTGCAGAGCTATAGAGAACAGACAGATTTCTTGAAAAGGAACTGAGTATTTGCTACAAACTCAAATTTTCTAATCACTAGTCACAACCTGATAATATAAACCTTTGATATTTTAAACCTAGATTATTCAATCTATCAGTATTCATAGTTCGAATTATCTAAGGTTCATGACATTGAGTTGCACAGAGGAATTAGAAAATCAGAGTGAAAAAGATTGTGGATATCGATATCAATGCTTGATCTCGATCTTTTTTTAATCTACCGATTAATTTAATCTTTATCCGATATCCCGCATTGTAATCTTACCCAGTCAGGGGTTAAAGAAGCTTTGATCATGAACGGAATAACTAAACTAAAACTTTAGAAAGGTAAAGTTTCTTATAGATCATCAGATTAAATGTTCCCACAGTAGATATCAAGATCAAGTGCTCGAGATCATGAGTATCCAATCAAAAGTTCCCAGCTCTGGCTGCTTTTTGAAAAGTCATCTCATGTTATTTTGTATTAAAGTTTCAATTTGCTAAAAGGTTGATAAAATTAATAAACTACTCGGGGGGGAATAAGATGAACTTCTAAAGTAGGAAGAAGATGAGAAAAGAGGATTAAACAAAAACTCAATTATAAAATGTTTAATATAAGCGCGGAGACGTTGTGTGTATAATGGTAGGAGAAGTTCATTAGTAGTATATTTCACTANTAAAGTAAAGTACACATAAAAGGAATTGAGTTTTTGCCACAAACTCAAATTTTCTACTCCCTATATGTTTACAACCAGATGGTGTGAACCGATGATATTTCAAACTTAGACTGTTTGATCAAACAGAATTCATAGTTTGGAATGTCAAAGATCAACGACATCGGGTTGCTAAGATAAAGGGGGGTAAAAGTTAGAGTTTGGGGCAAAAACTCATTTCCTTTAAATCTTATATCGTATTGAAGAGGAATTATGAAGAACAAAAATGTGATGAAATTCTAATAAGCAACCAAATAAACTTGCTTTTATCATGCTTTTGCCTAAACAACGTCTAGTTTGCAGTGCACCCCCCCCCTCCCCCTCCAGACACAAAAACAAAAAATTCTTTATGTTAGGCATACTAAAGGGGGGGGGGGGGAGAGGGGATGTAAAGCTGTTTAAAACCCAAAAAAAACTTTCTTTGTATGGCGAAACTCAAAAATTATCTTTATTTTGTTGTTACTTCATAAGAAAAGATTATTCTTAAACATCTCTTTTGTATATTTGTATATTGAATTTTTTGCTCCTCCCCCCCGTATTACAATAATATTGGTTATTGAAACTTAAAACCTTAAAACTTTTGTGAAAATTAAATTTTCTATTGATCTTATTTGAAGTTTTCCTCAGTTATTTAAGTAACGTTCAGTGTTGAGAGTCTGGTGAAGGAATCGAGTCTTTGGCACAAAATCAATTTTTCTTTTTTCAACCTGAAGGTGTAAACCTTTGATATGTCAAACTTAGATTATTTGATCTAACATAACTCATTGTTTGAAATATCTACGGTCTACAACACCGGGTTGCAAAGATACAGGGATTAGATAAATCCGAGTTTGTGCCAAAAACTCAATCCCGTTTAGAAAATAAAAATCGCAAAAAAACTTTTTGTCTCTATAAATATTTCCACCATATATTCCAGGAACCAATTTCGGATCCACACAATACAGCTCACATAATACACATAAAATAAATTTTTCCTTTAAATTGGATTGACCATTTTCTAGTTTATTACCATCAGACGGACAAATAAAACTACAGACATCCGATTTGTCATTTTAAAAAATTTAAGCTTTGGAAATGGATTCAAAGCATGTCTAAAAACTTGAAACTACCAAAATTGTTTTGATCAAAACCGTTTTAACAAGAACTTATCCTAATCTAATTTAACTTAGTTTCAATTAATAAAAGTTTAATGAGAATATATATTCCTGTGCAGAACTCCGTATATAACTGGATTTAGCATAGAGTTTGTATATCCTAGCCACAGCGCTGTAGAGTTAATCCAACCTAAAATATAGATAATTATACACTTCAACCAGATAAAACATGCTATTTTCGGATCACTTAAAAAAGTTTCCTCACAGAACGTTTCCTTACTAAATATGTTTCCTTACAGAACGTTTCCTGCTACAAAACGTTTCCTGCCACAAACGTTTCCGGCTACAAAACGTTTCTGTAAGTACTTCTTATTTTTTTATTTAAAGAATTTAGCTGTCAACTCTGCTCTTTGGGTACATGAACGACACGGCATATTAGAGGTCTTGGGGAGTAAGGAGGCTTTTTCTAGGTGTTTTAGGTACTTTTGCAAAGGCATTTTCTCAAGGGCGACGTCCCAAAAGTGCGGTTGTCCAAGCAGCAACTTCCCAAAGATAGATTAGGGCCTCTGAAGCGCCGCAGGCTGCAATTGGTGTTCGAGCGCTGCGGCTAGATTGGGCTAGGGGGCCAAGCGCCGCGGCTAGAACATGCTGGGGGCCGAGCGTTGCGTCTAGGACTTTGGAAGTTGCCGGAAAGTACCTAACAATTTTTATATAGTGCAAAATAATCATAATGTTAAATTTAAATTAAATTTGGGTTTTAAGTTTTAGATATTTAAGCGTTTTAAGTCTTTTACTCTTTTTGATGAATAATAATAAAAAGAAAATGAGGAGAAAATTTGGGAAAAAAATGAGGAGAAAATTAAGAGAAATGAAGAGAATATGAGGAGAAAATGAGGAGAAAATGAGGAGAAAATGAGGAGAAAATATGGAGAAAATAAGGAGAAAATGAGGAGAAAATGAGGAGATAATGATGAGAAAATGAGGCGAAAATGAGGAGAAAATGAGAAGAAAATGAGGAGATAATGAGGAGAAAATGAGGAGAAAATGAGGAGAAACTGAGGAGAAAATGAGGAGAAAATGAGGAGAAAATGAGGAGATAATGAGGAGAAAATGAGGAGAAAATGAGGAGATAATGAGGAGAAAATGAGGAGAAAATGAGGAGAAAATGAGGAGAAAATGAGGAGATAATGAGGAGAAAATGAGGAGATAATGAGGAGAAAATTGGGAGAAAACAAGGATTTTCTATTAAGTGCAATAATTTTTTTTTAAACTAACAATAAACTTAAAGAAAATCTTAAGTAAAAAATTTGTCGAAGTAAATTTGATATTCATAAAAAATCTTTTTAAGTTTTTATGCAACTAATTCTAATCCAGAGGTAAAAGAGTAATTATTCTTGACAAGATAATTTAAATTAACATCATTTGTTAACATAATAATTATTTTCAACTCTTTCTAACAGGGACATCTTTGAATAAGAGAGAAAAGGCTGAACTGGAAAGGAATAATACAAAAAATTTCGCAGATTTTTTTATTTGTATTAACAGATTTCAAGAAAAAAATTAGGTTGTTTTGGAGGCAAATTGTTTTTTTGGGGGGATCATATAAGGTCCAATCAATTTGGGGCCGATTGGCGATTAGTTGAGCTGTTTCGATATTTATAATAAAAATGTTAGAATATTTTTGTTTTTTCTGTACAACAAAAAGAAAAAATCGATTTTTGTTTTCTAAATATTTAGTATTTTTCTCTGTAATTCTCACATGAATTATGTAGATATTTAAAAGATTTATTTACTAAATATCTGTGAATATGTGAATATATGTATATTCAGTTTGTGTAACACAATTCCAAACTTTCCAAGGAACATAAATTACTTTATTATCTTATCTTCACATGTTCCTCCCAACATGAAAACATTTTTAATATAATGCCAGGTAAATATATTTTACGAAAAAGAAAATTCCACAAAGTTTAAAGCAAACTGTAAAAGTATCAAAGGATATTTTTACTAAGATGTTGGGCAAATTTAACTCTGTGCAATATAAAATGTGACATGGAGAACCAGAAAACTTTTGAACAGAAATAAGACTTTTAGAGTCAAGTGAACACTTTTAAAAGCCCAATATAAACATTAGACACAGCAACTTATTTAAATTTTCTAAAGCAAATATCTTTGCAACCTAATCCTAAGTATTCTGCACTTCTTGTTAAATAGCTGAGTTGGTTTTGGTCTGTTATTAAGAAGGCGTTAAACAACGTACATTGATACATATAATACTTTAATACTAAATACTGTAATGTTATAATGTTTAATCCAACAAAAAATACCTGAGATATTATGTATTATGAAGAGTACAGAGTACAAGCTTACCTGGGATAATGTGTACCCGGACTAATGAAGAGTATAGAGTACAAGTTTACCTGGGATAATGTGTACCCGGGCTAATGAAGAGTATAGAGTACATGTTTACCTGGGATAATGTGTACCCGGACTAATGAAGAGTATAGAGTACATTTTTACCTGGGATAATGTGTACCCGGACTAATGAAGAGTATAGAGTACATGTTTACCTGGGATAATGTGTACCCGGACTAATGAAGAGTATAGAGTACATGTTTACCTGGGATAATGTGTACCCGGACTAATGAAGAGTATAGAGTACATTTTTACCTGGGATAATACGTACCCGGACTTATGAAGAGTACAGAGTCCATGTTTACCTGGGATAATGTGTACCCGGACTAATGAAGAGTACAGAGTACAAGTTTACCTGGGATAATGTGTACCCGGACTAATGAAGAGTACAGAGTAAGAACGAAGAATGGGAGCCAGCAGATTAAGAAGGTTAGAAGAACAATTCCTACAGTTAGTGTAGCTTTCCATTCTTGTCTAGCATACATACCAGCACCTGAATAGGAAACATTAAAGGGACTGTAAGCGTAATTTCAAGTGACCCTCCATGCAAAGATGACAATGCCAGCATATACATCGGCACCCTTAAAGCTTTACTGAGAAATACCACACGGTACATATATTAGGTCTTTAGGGAAATCGCTAAGTAGCGAAACAGTGTTTATAATGTATATAATGTTTACGTGTATGTATTGAATTGTGTATGTAATGTATATAATGTTTACATGAATGTAATGAATTGTGTAATTAATGCATATAATGTTTACGTGTATGTATTGAATTGTGTATGTATGATGTATATAATGTTTACATGAATGTATTGAATTGTGTATGTAATGTATATAATGTTCACATGAATGTATTGAATTGTGTATGTAATGTATATAATGTTTACATGAATGTATTGAATTGTGTATGTAATGTATATAATGTTTACATGAATGTATTGAATTGTGTATGTATAATGTATATAATGTTTACATGAATGTATTGAATTGTGTATGTAATGTATATAATGCTTACGTGTATGTATTGAATTGTGTTTATAATGTATATAATGTTTACGTGTATGTATAATGTATAATGTTTACATGAATGCAATGTATTGAATCGTATTTAAGAGAATAAAGGAAATTGTTGACCAGTAAGAATATTGATGACACATCTTTCACAGGTTTCATTTATTCTTGAACAATGGTTGAAAATCCTTAATCTAAAGAATGTATTGTGTTAAGAACAGAAAAAAAAATGTTGAGTATAGATTAAAGATTGTTAAATTGATTATCAATATTCTTTATACATTATGAAACAATTAAAAACGGAATGATCCCCATCTTCGCTTTTTCTTTTTATAAAAATATCCAGTATGATTTTGTAACTCAATTACAGCTGATATATTTCAGAACTTACATTACAGGAATATTCAGTAATAACCATACATCACAGGAATATTCAGTAATAGCCATATATTACAGGGATATTCAGTAATAACCATACATTGCAGATATTCAGTAATAAACATACATTACAGGAATATTCAGTAATAGACATACATTACAGGGATATTCAGTAATAGCCATACATTACAGGGATATTCAGTAATAGCCATACATTACAGGGATATTCAGTAATAGACATATATTACAGGGATATTCAGTAATAGACATATATTACAGGGATATTCAGTCTAATATTGCTTGATTTACTTGTACAAGAGAACTGACGAGGGGCAACCCAGACCGAAATATATTTTCAATAAATGTGGAACTAACATCTACTTTTTTACTCTACAGAGGTTTGGTCCATCACCATCACTGAATTTTAAATAGCCATACATTACAGGGATATTCAATAATAACCATACATTACAGGGATATTCAGTAATAGCCATACATTACAGGGATAACTCTAATTGAGGAATCATTCATTTAATCCTCACATGTAAAAATGGATACCAAGAAAAAACCGAAGACGACAACAATTCTGGTTTATATTGGTTAAAACTGTACAGTGTATGTACAATGTACAATATGCATACCTGAAAACCCTGTTAAACACCGTGAAAGACGCATTGAGCTTGATTTAGGCATAGTGAGAAGAACCCGGTGTCCGGAGATTTCTCCGGACTTACGACGTATCTTTACTCCTGGATAGGAGTGGGAGACGGACAGGAGAGATCTGCTCCGCGGAATGAAATTGTCGGATTGATCCGTTGAACAAGAATCTAAAGGGACAGGATGAGTTCCGAGAAACCCAGTATTTTCGCTGTACAATTGGTTTAGTGATAGACTAGACTTTAAACTGTTGCTTAAAGGATCACGGAGGAGAGGATTGAAGTCAGAGGTTGGAGAGCTTTCACTCACTTCAATCTTAATACAACTTTTTGTTTCAGGTTCAGAACATGTTCCAGATACAATATTAGGTTCAGAGGTGTTTCCAGTTTGAGTTTCCGTTCCAGGACGAGAATTTGATTCAAGTGTTCCAGGTAGAGTAATGGTTCCAGGGAGGGAATTGGTTCCAGGGAGTGAATCGGTTCCAGGTAGAGTATTGGTTCCAGGGAGAGAATTTGCCCCAAGCAGAGAATTGGTTGCAGAAGGAGAATTAATTCCAGGGAGAGAATTGATTCCTAGGAAAGAGTTGGTTCCAAGGAGAGAATTGGTTCCAGGGAGAGAATTGGTTCCAGAGAGAGAATTGGTTCCAGGGAGAGAATTGGTTCCAGAAGGAGAATTGGTTTCAGAGAGAGAATTGGTTCCAGGGAAAGAATTGGTTCCAGAAGAAGAATTGGTTTCAGGCACAGATTTAGTAATATTTAAAAGCATACATCCAGGAGAATAATGAAAACTATGGGTTGTGTTCGGAGAAGAATGAGAATTATGGGTTGTATTCGGAGAAGGATAAGAACCAGGGGTTGTATCCGGAGAAGGATGAAAATTAGGGTTTGTATCCGGAGAACCAAAACTAAGAGATCTGTGTACTCTAGGACGAAGTTTATGAATCTTATTACAGAAACTCCGCTTCATGCTTAATCCATCCATTCTCTCCGACTTGGAGGAAACACTAGGATTAATATAAGTATTCTCCAAGTAGGAAAAACCTGAGCTGTTATCAACACAGTTGCAATCTTTAGATCTAGATTTAGAGTTTAGGCAAGAGTCAGCATGTTTAGGAACAATGGAAGAATGCCCTAATCTTGGCAAACTTTTAGAAAAACTTTTTAAACTTTTTGCTTGACTGTGAGTTAAGGACTGAGGTTCAGTTTCTTCTCCTTGAAGGAGCAGGGTTTCTTTCTTCTGAGATTCTCCTGGTATACTTTCAGCTTTAATCTTACAAGATTCGGATCCAAAGTTTGCCTCACTAGAAACCAAATCAGATAATCTTTCTCCAAAAAGGAAACTATACCTCCAAAAGAAAGTCAACAAAGTTAAAATACTTATATTTTGAGATTGCTTCTAGGCTATTATTTTCAAGAGTCAATCTTTTTAGAAAAATAATTACTATGAACTTTGCAATGTATAGAAGATATGTAGAGAATCATTGACACAAAAGTAGGATAAAAATTTAAATTTGAAGATAAACACTGCATAATGCATATTCGGTCGATAGAGTATTTAAATCAAAATTGACACATTTTAGAAGTCTTTCTAGTTACAACACAACGATATGTAGCATTTTAATCAAACAGTACTGTTTACTTTAAAATCTATCATGTACAACGAATGCCTAATACGAATTGGTTGCCTCCTCCCCCTAAAAAAATCTTCTGACCCCATTGTAAAATTAAGAGAGTTATTTAAATTTTCAAAAATGGTTCGGCTTCACTGGGCTAGGAATTGGAGGGGCTATAACGAGAAATTATATTTAAAAATAGGAATTTTTCAACCCCTCCCCCTCCTAAAATATTGAATCCGATGGAAGAAATAATAATTAATGAATGTTGATTTTGATGTTGATCCGATCTTTTATTCATGATTTATCTGGTTCCTTGAGTAATGATGAGGATTCGAAGATTTGTCCATCCCTTTCTTCCAACCAAGGAGAGGGCTGAGCAAATCATCATTCTAAAATATTTTTAGATTTATTACTGAGCATTCAATGGTTATATATCATGGAAGGAATAAAATCAAAATATCATCTTTGTACGTCATCTTATCTGAGAATACAGTCGTTCTACAGTAGTCGGCGTTTATATCAATACACTAGATACATTAGGATAGATTGTTTATGCAGACTATAAAGCTGAAAATTGTACAACCCTTTGTACATCATGAACTCGTCATAGAAAAAGTTCATTGAATATGTTTTACTTCTTGCGGTCACTCTGTAGAGAGCTATTTCTAATTGATCAGTATCTTGTCATTCTGAATTGTGTAAATTACTGGTCCCTGGCAGCCGTAGTATATTTGAAGTTCCGAGCCGGGTCAACCTTTCCGGTCCCATTTTGTATTGTACCTAGCTCTATGGACAAGACTAGCCGATGCAACAAGGTTGACGCGATCAGACTTTATGCTTCATATAGGTTCAATTTACTTTTACTAAAGGGGAAGAGGTGCGTATGGTCCTCTACACACAAAACACACCCCATACATTTGTACGGAGTCGTAACAATACTTGCCGCAACTCTTTATATTCAATGTACTGTATGCACGTAGCTATAGTACAGAGCTAAATTCATATTGTTCAATTTGAGGTAAAACACTCCGGTATGGTGAAGACGACATGAGCTATCTAATCTAATATATCTAGGATCAATACACAATTTTTTTTAATAATTTTTTTTAGTTTTTAAAAAATAGCAAGTTAACATGTTCTCAAAGATCGAGAAGCTATTAATTAGCAGTTTCTCATTGTTTCCATGTTCATGTGTATCCATGCTGTTTGAAAGCTTAGTAGATATTTAAAATGGAAATTGAAAGTTGTCTTTATTGTATTGATTTATACGACCGTATATCAAGGGATAAATAAAATCATGATATCAATTGTGCATGATCTAAAATTAATCCATATTTGTAAACAGATTCAAATCCATCAATATTATAAACCAGTTCAAGTGCCCGGCGTTTTTTGAGAAAAAAATTAGAATTTTTAAAGAAAAACAATTTTTTTAGCATATGTTACCCCTGGGCCACTCATGGGTTCCATAAAATAATCAGCCCATTCGGTCGAACCGTTTGGCCAGCCATGGGGAACATATATACGATACGAATATCTTGTTCTATTATATAGATTATAAATAATCTCCACAATTCATTAACACATTCTGTACAGAGCGTTAAATAATTTAATATTGTTAAAATATAGATATTTCTCTTTCAACTCAAATTTATTGCAAATTTGAAATGTTTTATAGTTAAGGTATTTTATTTCAATAGATTAGGGCTTTTGGATATTTTCAAGCACAATTTTCTTTGAGGGAACAAAATAAAATTTGAAAAATGTTTGAAAATTTGAAAATTATTATTTAAAACTCGGCTCGCACTTTTTTGTAGTTTTTCTTTTATCGGAAACCCCTTTTAGAAAGCTGAAAGTTTAATATCACAAGAACGAGTGATTAATGAACGTGAAGTTTTTCATCCAAAATGATTTTTTATACCTTACAGCCTGTAGAAGAGAGAACAGAAACCTTTCTTTTTTCTTTAGACCTGGAGCAAAAATATTCTTTTTGAAAATGCTGTTTTCTTACATAATTTTTTAAATATTATTATCCAGAAGTCAAACCAATAGAGATAAAACTATCCCAATGTTTTTAGAAGAGAATATGCTTGATAATTTGGTTGTAACCTACTTGATAATTTAGATGTAAACTACTCGATAATTTGGTTTTAAACTGCTTGATGATTTGGTTGTATACTATTAGATAATTTGTTAAAATCTACTCGAAAATTCGGTTGTAAGCTTCTCGATAATTTGGTTGCAAACTATTCGACAATTTGGTTGTAAACTACTCGACAATTTGATTGTAAACTACTCGATGAATTGGTTGTGCACTACTTGATAATTTGGTTGTAAACTACTCAATAATTTGGTTGAAAACTACTCGATATATATTGATCGAAAACTGTAAATATTCCTATTCCCTTGGTCGATTTATATTTGGCAAACAAATTAAATAACTAGAGAATATCTGTAGTTCAAAACCTCAAAAATTAATATAAAAATTCAAATAAAGAGGAATCAATTCAAATTTTACATTGTTATTTTTTTCTTAGAATTTAAGAAAATTAGAAATGGAAAGAAAAGAATAATTTCCCTGTTTTTATCTTTTATTGACGCCAGCTTGATATAGTATGATGATTCATCAACCTGGAGAACTTGTGTTGCATGCAGTACCTAGAGTAATTGCCATACATTAATTAATAATAACAGAAAGAACACTAGATGTCGTCTTTTAAAGATTTTAGGGTTTTTGTTCACAATAACCCTAAGGCAGACGCCCAAAGGAGTTACTCGCATGCTGCGTGGAATTACGAGAAAGAGAGAACCTGAATGCGCGTAACTTCTTTGGGCTTCTGTCTCAGGGTTAATATCTTGCAAAATCTTGAAAAGACGACATCTAGTGTTTCATCTGTTATTGTTAATTAATCTGCTTTACTATCTGTTCTTTTATGTGGATCCAATCTTAGAAGAATACCTTACAAAAGGATTTTTTCTTAAAGTTTGATTTCATCATACTTTGCAAATTGTAATAAATGCAAATTTATTTGGGATGAATCTATATGATAAAGCTCTTCAATCATATATATATATATATATATTTGTATATATGTTAGCTATAGCTGGCCAAAAAGCTGGACCAAATTAGCTGATTTTTTTTTGAGGGAAGCCATGGATACTAACATTAGCTAAAAAAAATAATGTTTCTTTTTCAAAAATAAATTTTGTTTCTATCAAATTTCAATTTTTTTTCACGGGCAAAGCAGGGCACTTCAGTTAGTATTAAATAAAAGGCCATCCGTGTTTACTATTGTAGAAAAAACTGCAAATATTTTTTATAGTTTAGATATAAAATATACAATTTATACATATAGAGTAAAGTGCATCTTCATAATAATTTTCGGTTTATTAATTTGTTATTTTAGATGAAAGCCCCTCACAATTTAATAAAACAACTTGGTTCAATTTACTCAACTTATTCATTGACAGAGAGTAATTAAGAACAAGCGTTAATAAGCGTTTATTTTCAAGTTTTCAACTAGGGGTGCTATGTGCACAATCATGTCAGTTGTGCAAGCGACTGTACTATTCTGTGCACGTACATAACAATATAAAGAAAAACTATGCAGCATAGAAAACTTTATTAAAACACTTTGAAAGACAGCCCGGCTGTGTGAAAAATTCATTTGATAAGTTTGTTTACTAAAATGTAAAGATAGAAAGGTATGCCAGTTTAAATAATCAGGCTGAAAATCTAAAAATAAGATAATAATGCAAACATTCCAAATATATCCAATACCCTTTGCAATTACGATTTTATCTCAAAAAATATTTAAACACTTATCAATATTTGTCCAATACAAAAAATAAGAAGAACTCTCCCACGTCCTCGACCACGACCCTTTCCTTCTTGGGAACCTTGAAATCTGTCAGACTCTTCCCATCCTTCTAGGATGACTTCCCAATTACATTGCTAACCAAGCAAGTAATTATCCACAGTTTTCCCTTTGATGATTGCCTCATGAAATTATTCAACTTGATGGAGATCCAAATATTGTAGTTCGAACATTGCCAGATTTCTTTGAATTTACAAAAGTTCACTAGCCGATCTAACATCAGAAGCACCTAGACTGTCGCCTGGACTGTCACCAGGACTGCTACTAGGACTGCCACCAGGACTGCCACCAGGACTGCCACCGGGACTGCTACCTGGACTCCCACCAGGACGGCCACCAGGACTGTTACCAGAAACCTCAAGCTCAACAGTCAACACTGCTACAAGAAACCACAAGGCTGCTACCTGAAGCCTTAAGAGGTGGCTATCAGATACCTCAAGACTGCTACCAGAATCCCCAAGACTGCTTCCAGATCTACTAACAGATATTGTCGCACAAAATGTGACCTTTTTGAATATTATTATGTAGGAGCACAATGCACATAGTTATTTTTATATCCGCGCATACATCAATTTACATACTTTATTTTGTTTGTCTATTTAGAACACATACATTTTTTAACCACCATTTTTTTAAGCTAAAAACTCTTGCTTACTTCTTGTATAAACGCACTTATCAGACATATAATGACCAAATATAAAAATAAACTTCTTTTGTAAAGGTTTTAGAATTATACTATATGCGCAATGCTGTCTTTTTACATGATAACTCGTTTGCTGTCCAATTTGGATCAGTGGGTCATTAAATTAAGAAAACCTTAGTTTTATTAAAATTGCGCACATCAAATGTATTATAATGGAAATGCACTTTACTCTACAAAGAAATTTCAAAATAATATGAAATACATATTTCTAGGGAATAGAACTGAATGCGTAGATGGATAAATATCTGCAGTTGGTTGATTGATGGATAGATAGATGAATATCTGCAGTTGGTTGATTAATGGATAGATAGATGAATATCTGCAGTTGGTTGATTAATGGATAGATAGATGAATATCTGCAGTTGGTTGATTAATGGATAGATATCTGCAGTTGGTTGATTAATAGTAAATAGATAAATATCTGCAGTTGGTTGATTAATGGATAGATAGATTAATAAAAATGGTATTAGACACCCACAGTAGTCAACAGAAAATATTTCCATACTTTTCGGCTTTTTTCTTTATTCACATTAAGATATTTTTCAATTGATTTTTTTTTATATCTATATAATATAACAAAACATATATATATGTTGCGTATAGCCGGCCAAACGGCTGGACCGAATGGGCAGAAATTTTTTGTAGACACTCATGGGTAGCCTGGGGGTGACATATAGGATAAAAAATCTAATTGTTCAGGACACAATTTTAGAAATTACGCTAGTTTTCATGATATATATATATATATATATATATTGTATATATATATATATATGATTATATATATATATATATATATATATTGTATATATATATATATATGATGTAGAAAGGAGATGACACTTATCGCGCTATTGTCTGGTTACCACTGTAAATAGTTGGGAAAAGCACGTACTAGTGTTAAATGGATTGATTGATTGAGGTAAAAGCGAATATATAAGTCAATATGAGCGAAGGTTAGTTGATATAAGTGGATTCAAGTGAATATAGCGGATACTAGTGGATATAAGTGGATTCAAGTGAATATAGCAGATATTAGTGGATATAAGTGGATTCAAGTGAATATAGCGGAAAGTGGATTCAAGTGAATATAGCGGATATTAGTGGATATAAGTGGATTCAAGTGAATATAGCGGATATTAGTGGATAAAAGTGGATTCAAGTGAATATATCGGATGTTAGTGGATATAAGTGGAATATAGCGGATATTAGTGGATATAAGTGGATTCAAGTGAATATAGCGGATATTAGTGGATAAAAGTGGATTCAAGTGAATATATCGGATGTTAGTGGATATAAGTGGATTCAAGTGAATATAGCGGATATTAGTGGATATAAGTGGATTCAAGTGAATATAAGTGTATTCAAGTTGGATTCAAGTGAATATAAGTGTATTCAAGTGAACATAAGTGTATTCAAGTGAATATAAGTGGATTCAAGTGAATATAAGTGGATTCAAGTGAATATAAGTGGATTCAAGTGAATATAAGTGGATTCAAATGGATATAAGTTGATTCAAGTGGATATAAGTGAATTTAAGTGAATAAGAGCGAATATTAGTGGATGTAAGTGGACGCAAGTGGATATAAGTGGATTCACGTAGAAATAAGAGGATATAAGTGAATATGAGCGAATATTAGTGGATGTTTAAGTGGATTTAAGTGGATATAAGTAAATATGAGCCGGACATTTTTGGATGTAAGTTGATTTAGATGGATAAAAGTGGCTGTAAACTGGATTTCAATTGATAAAGTTGATATAAATTAATTATATATAATTAAATATGAGTTATGTGGATATAGGTGGATATTTCTGGATGTACATGGATATTTATGGATATAAGTGCATGTAAGTGGTTAAGTGATAAAGCTAAAGATGGGATAAAAATATATTTAGATATAACTGATATAAATAAATACCTGTATATTATTATTAGTATGAGTAGAATAAGATCCAGTTTTATTTTGTAGAAACGAATCAGAGTTCCTCATCCTTACACCTGAAATATTTATTAGCTCTGAGCTGGGAACTTTAGAATGGTGGATATCGGGATTAATGCTTGATTCACTCTTTTTCTTAATCTCCAGATTAAATAATTAAATATCAATCTAATCTCCAGATTAATTAACAGATCGGTATTAAGGATATCTCATTCTAAAGTTTTCAGCTCAGTAAATATAAATATTTTGTTAAAATATAAAATAATGAGCTGTAGCTAGGACTGTATATAATTTTAGTTTTCAACTGTTGCTCTTAAAGTCGGCTTTTAAATCATTTCTCAATTTTGGCGGATTTTTTTTCGAATATTGGCGCATTTCAAAAATAAATTAAACCTTCCTGGGGGTCACGTGAGGAGGTTCACACAAAATTTGGGTCCGATCGGTTCAGCCGTTTTGACGTTTATTGGTTACAAACAACAAACAGACACCCATACAATCAAAGTATATATATAGATGGAAAAAATATCAGAATAAATCAATATTTTATAAAAAAACTCCTTTTTAATATAGGAAACAAAAACTCCTATCTAATACTTATAAAATTAGACAAAGCTTTTAACGATACAGTTCTAAATCTGCATACTACTCTATCCAAAGAGGGTCACTTATAATTTATAATTATAATTATATAAACTCTGAAATAGGAAGACGACTTTAAAGCAATACTTAAGTGTATTAAATGTTGCTTGGAAGCAAATAGTTTGACTGACACCTTTTCACTAATTGAGTGAAATGGGTCTGTTTACACTGCACAATTGCTGTGTCCTATGCTTATTGCACTATAGTCATCTTCCTATTCCAGAGTTTTCTGGTTATTACTGTATAATTCCTGTAAGCTCTGAGAAATGAAAAATCAACAGAAGTTGTTTATTATTCTAGACGGTTTCTTTATAAATTTGGCGTGTGGAGAACATTAAGAAACTGAAAGAACCCAATGATGGATTAAATGATTATATTTCAATTCTATCAGAGGAAAGATAATTAGATAAACAAATATAAAAAAGGTAAGAAAGATGTAAATATCATATTCTAATCTTGTTCAGTAAAATCCCACCTCTATTACTTAATCCTTCATACACTTGCTATAAGTTTTACAAAGCTCCAAATTCTAAAAAGCTTAGGATTATATCTTAATCCTACTGGAAGTATTCTAATCCTACAACAAGAGCAGTCGGATTAGATTTAATCCTACTAGAAGCTCTAGGATTTTATTCTAATCCTACAACAGAAGCTGTATACCTTAATCCTACTGTTAGCAGTAGGATTATATAATTATCCTACATAAACGTCAGTATGCTATAATCTTTTAAAATACAATAGTTCCTAGTTCTTATCCAATCAAGGTTGTCTAATAAGGTTGCTTACTCTAGATGCGCTCCAATGTACGGAAAATGTCGTCTCCTTAGATAGAATCTGAATAAATTTCTTTCTCACCTCTGTAATTAGTGACGTCATATGCGGATTTTATCTAGCTATGCATTGGAACGTATCGAGAGTAAGCAACCTCATTATAAACCTTGAATCCAATAACACTACCTGAATATTCCCTCTTATGTCCAGACACCAGTGTTTCTCCAGGAGCGGATATAAACTTGAGTTCAGATTCAGATTTAGTATCCTTGTCTAGCTTCTCTTTAATTTGGGTTTCATGTTTATCTTTATGTTCATGTTCAGATTGAGGTTCAGTTTCAGGTTCAGGTTTGTGTTCGTGTCCAGGATCCTTTTTGATGACATTTACAACTCTGGAAAGGAATTATTTTTATTAAAACCTAAAGTATTTTAATGAAAGAAAATGTATAAATGCATTCTTATTTTCTGATTCCTATGTTTTTGCAACCTGATGAATTAAACCCTTTATATTTTAAGTTTATTAAATTTTATTAGCCATCATAATCAATTGTTTAAAATATCAAAGGTCTACGACATCAGGTTTCAAAGATGGGTTAAAATATTAGAATTTGAGAGAAGTTTCAGTTTTTTGCGTAATTTATGATTTTTCACTAATTAAGATATATTTCAAAAATAATTCACTTTCCTATTTCTGCGTCCAAGCTTTTTGATGAAGGGGTTGAAGGTCTAGGTTTACATATAGTTAATAGTGTTTGATAATTTGTATAAAGTGAAAAAGAAAAAAGACTTTAAATAAAAATGAATTGTGTAATGTGTGCTATTGATAAAAAGTTTATAAAATTCATCACAGTATTTCTGTAAACTCGTCTGCGTAATTTTAAGTATACCTCCAGGTAAGATGGCAATGCCCGATTTACAACGGTACTCTTGAAACCTTTATCCGACCAAAAGTGTGGAAAATATCCTCGTTTTTCTCATATTTTCTCCATTGATTCTTGAAGTAAGGAATGCGCTAGTCCCTTTTGTAGAGAACCCGCAAACGGAAAAAGAACAGTTTAAAGAAACAAAAACGATATCTAATGCGTATATTAAATCGGGCATTGTCATCTTTGCATGGATAGAAAGGGCACTTGAAATTACGCTTAGAGTTCATTTAAACATTGATTTTTTTTAAATGATGTAAGCCTTCCTTGTTCGTTGGTTCTATCGACTGTACACTGTACCTTCTTAGCGCTGACGGACTGTATTTTTCCTAAACAATATTTGAAATTTAAGCAACAAAAAAATATCTGTAAAAGTACTAGGTTTCCAAGGCGCTTCGCGCCCATCTTTGTTTTTAACTTTTAATTGTTGGTCTTTTATATAATTTTTATCGTGGATTTCTAAAAATCTATTTTTTAATGGAAACTTTTGTAATTCTGAACATCCATAAACATTCCCTTTGATCATGTGAGGTCCCAATCAAGCCGTGTTAACGTTTATCGGTTATAAACAAACAAACAGACAAACAGAAAAACAAAGTATATATATATAGAAGCATGTCATAGTGTTAAGGTTATATTCCTCTGTTTTAAACTTTCTACTAAGAATCATTAAATTTTCTTTTAATCAGTTCTTAGTAGATATTATCGTACTGAGATATTACAATAATTGAAACATTTTTATCAAAGGAGTTGAGTCTTTGTCACAATCACTGATTTCCTAATCCCTATATCTTTGCAACCCAGTGGTGTAGACCTTAGATATTGTGATGTGACTAATATTGAATAAAATAAACTAAGTTTGAAATAAATAAGATCTAGGGGTAAGACATTGGTTTGCAAAGATAAAGGGATTACAAAATCAGATTTTGTGGCAAAGACTCATTTCCTTTATTGTGACGTATATTAGAGCTGCTCAGAAACTGAAGTTTAAGGTGATACCAATCCTTGCATGATCCGAAATAGTAGAAGGATATCGGTCTATTGTTTCAGTCGTACCGGCCTGTCTACTGTACCCGATATGTAGTTGACCCAACGATGTTTCTGTGACAAACGTAGACAGGTTGGTCCATAGTGGCCCAGTGTTCCCATAAAATTTAAGACTTTTGATAAATATTTTGTTTTTGTTTTGATAAAATCAGTTCCCAGCAGCCCAAATACATCAGTTCCCAGCAGCCCAAATACATCAGTTCCCAGCAGCCCAAATACATCACAATAAAATGTACAAAAACCTTAAAACCCTATACTCCATACCTTTTTTGTACAAACCTTGAGACCCTAACCCCTTACCTTTATTGTACATACCTTGAAACCCAATCCCCCTACCTTTATAATACAAATCTTGAAACCCAATCCCCCTACCTTTATAATACAAATCTTGAAACCCAATCCCCCTACCTTTATAATACAAATCTTTAAACCCAATCCCCCTACCTTTATAATACAAATCTTGAAACCCTACCCCCTCCCCCCCCTACATTTTTTATATATACCTTAGAATTGTTTAAAATGGTTAAAACCGTACCTTGTTTATAATATCCCTGGCTGTTCTGTATATCCTGTAGTATAAAACTACCATGACTAGCAAGGGAAGGTAGAAAGAACAGATGGTAGCGTATAACTAGAATTAATAAAATTATCTAATTAAAGATTTTAAGATTTTAATTAAGAAAACATATTGATCAGATTAAAGTCTTAGTCACAAACTTGAATTTCCTTATTGCTATATTTTTGCAACCTGATATTTCAAACTTTGGCTATTTAATCTAACTTGAGGCCGAATTTAAAGAATATGAGCCGCGGTTTAAATTTAGACCGCGGCTCAAATATGATTTGTTCCACTTAAAATTGTATTAAACTTTTCAAGATTTAAGCCGGCGCACAATTGAAACCGGTTTTTCGGGTATTTGAGACGCGGCCTAAATTCAATAAATTAGGACAGTGATCTAACCGAATTTATAGTTTGAAATTTGCAAGGTTTACAACATCAGGTTGAAAAGATAAGGATTAAGAAATCAGTGATTGCTGCAAAAACTCTTTTGCAAAATATATTTAATCGAGGCGCGTTTATTTTTTTAAGAAACTAGATGCTAATTACAAAATGATGTCTAATAAACAACCAAAATAAAAATATATCAGGGATGCGTAATAATGTTAAAAATTTTTTTAATCCTTTGCATTAGTTGTTTTTAATAAAATAGTTTATATTTTGTTGTATCTCTGGCATAGATTAACTCTGCAGGACAGAAGCCAGGAATCTCGTGGTTTCGTTCATGCTCCTGCAGTTCTTTTTACTCCGGGGTTTAGTTTATACCTGGTTCTGTTTACTCCGCGTTTAGTTTATACCTGGTTCTGTTTACTCCAGGGGTTTGTTTATACCTGGTTCTTTTTACTCCACGTTTAGTTTATACCTGGTCCTTTTTACTCCACGTTTAGTTTATACATGGTTCTTTTTACTCCACGTTTAGTTTATACCTGGTTCTTTTTACTCCACGTTTATTTTATACCTGGGGTTCTGTTTACTCCGGGTTTAGTTCATACCTGGTTCTGTTTACTCCGGGTTTAGTCTATACCTGGTTCTTTTTACTCCACGTTTAGTTTATATCTGGTTCTTTTTACTCCAAGTTTAGTTTATATCTGGTTCTATTTACTCCGGGTTTAGTTTATACCTGGTTCTGTTTACTCTGAGTTTAGTTTATACCTGTTTCTATTTACTCCGGGTTTAGTTTATACATGGTTCTGTTTACTCCGGGTTTAGTTTATACCTGGTTCAGTTTACTCCGGTTTTAGTTTACTCAGCGCTAAGTTTATACCTGGTTAAGTTTTTACCGGGTTGAGTTTATATCTGGTTCAGTTTATACCTGGTTCAGTTTATACCTGGTTCCGTTTATACCTGGTTCAGTTTATACCTGGTTCAGCTTATGCACAGTTTTTGTTCAGTTTACAATTAGACCTTGTTCAGTTAACTTGGGGTTCAGTTTATACCTGGTTCAGTTTACTCCGGGTTGAGTTTTTACCTGGTAAGCCGGAGCCTGAGATACTAAGCATTGAAATTCAGGATCAAATCTTTCCAGTTCTTCTGATTTCTCCGAGGTCTGATCTTTGCTCCAGGCACCCAACCCGTCCTTGAGATCACGTTTCTTAAACATCTAAAAAATGTATAAAGGAATCGTTATCGTTTTTCCTGTTCTCCCCTTCCCCTTCACATTCTCCCCGATTCTCTAAACACATAATTCTAAGTGTACCTCCATGATAAAATAGTACCCTCAAAAGCTTTGTCTGATCAAGTATGAGTTGGATATCCATGTTTATAATTTTGAAAAATGATTATTTTTAATTGTGGTATCTCTACACAAGTGACTTACTCATTTCTGTTGCAGGAAACACATATAGGAATTATCAGGATTGAGCACTTTTTAAAGGTAAAGTTGTGAATCGAGCATTGCCAACTTTTCTGAGGGGGTAACTTAGAATTACGCTTACAGTCCCTTTAACCTATAGTATAGTATAGTATCGTATTGACAAATTACAGTTTTTCTGAAATGGAGTAATGCAAGGTATCCAATATCCACGCACGGAAGGTTTAAAGAGTTCTAATGGCAACAAGTTAAAGAAAATCACTTCTTTAAACCTTTTAACAATAACTTAGGAGTGTGAGATGCAAAAGACACTCTCTAAGTGATAATTCTATTTAAAGTATAAAATAAACTATTCAAATCTTTCCCAAAATTTGAATTTTTTGACAGTTTTAAGATGGATTTAAGATTTCATCAGGATAAAGCTCATTTTTACATAAAATATTGAAATCATTTATACAGATTTCAAGCGGAAAATTATTCTCTCGATAATGGAAAACTTAAAATCCAATAAAACTTAAAAACTTAATGAAATAGAGGTCAAATTAAAATGGATGTTCAAACTTCTTGTAGTACATACAAAAAGGTTTCCCTCAAAATGTTTCCTAACGAATTTGTGTTGGAAAGTTGTGTGACAGGAAACGTTTTGTTGTGGAAATATTTTGAGAGGAAACATTTTTTGGGATCATTCTTGTTGGGAAACATTTTTTGGGATTTTTTGAGGAAACAATATGTGGGAAACATTTTGTGGAGAAAACATTTTGTGAAGGAACGTTTAGTAGAGAACATTTTTTGTGGATGAAATGTTTATGAGGAAACATTTTGTTGAAAAATTGCATGAGGAAACATTTTGTGGAGAAAAATTTTTTGAGGAAACATTATATGATGAAACGTTTTGTGGGGGAAACATTTTGTGAGTTAACATATTCTAGAGGAAACATTATGTCGAGGAAAAATTGTGTGAGGAAACGTTTTGCGAGGAAACATTTTGTAGAGGAAACATGTTGTAGAGAAAAAATTTTGTAGAGGAAACATTTTGTGAGGAAACATATTCTAGAGGAAACATCATTTAGAGGAAACGTTTTGTAGAGGAAACATTTTTAGAGGAAACATTTTGTAGAGGAAACATTATGTAGAGGAAACGTTTTGTAGAGGAAACATTTTTTAGAGGAAACATTTTGTAGAGGAAATATTTTGTTTGGAAACGTGTTGTAGAGGAAAACTTTTGTAGAGGAAACATTACGTGGAGGAAACATTTTTTAGAGGAAACATTTTGTGGAGAAAACATTTTGTGGAGAAAACATTTTGTGAGGAAACATTGCACAAAAATATGATTTCAGATTAAAAAAAACCTGGAAAACTGAAAATTCTCAAGTTTACCTGGAGCAGGGTTGCAACTTGTTTTCTCTCCGGGTAGCCAGGAGTACTGTTCCCTGGTAGATGGTTCAGGACGGATTGTGTAGATGATTGATAATCCTGACCAGGAGGAGGGATAAAAACTAGTCCGGAGGAGGGTGTGGCCAGGGCGGGGGCGGAGACAAGCCCTGCAAGCAGTTGGATGGATAGGATGCAGAGAAGTATCAGACGATGGGTTCGGATTGGTACATAGCGGAGAGGTTGGGAGATTGCATAATAACGATCTAAAAAACAAGTTCATGGTTAAAAGATTAGTATTGAAAACCTAACAAAGGATGACAATTTAATTTAAAGGGAGTGTTCGCGAAAAATTAAAGGGGATATAGGCTTAATGCGCTTTTGATCGCTACAATCTATCTGTTGCGTCTAAAAGGAAAAAATTGTTAAAGACGTCTCATACCGAATAACTTAGCGTCCATACAAATTAAGAAAATTGCAACTTACGACTTAGACCGTAAAAAATCAATTTAATTTCAAACATATCATTCAGATATTACAATCTATAGTCATCGATTATCTTTCGCCACATTTGTATATAGTTTATATTTTATAATATTTTTTAATTAGTTTTTTATATTTTATTTTTTTAGAAAACGTTTTAACGGATTTCGAAAAATGTGAGTGGTGCGCGGCATTCTTAGATAGTTGCGCAAGCAACAAGAGAAATTATCAAATTCAAAACAAATTAATTAAAAACTATTATAAAATATAAACCATATACAAATGTGGCGAAAGATTTTGTTAGATTTAATGGTCTAAGTTTGAAATATAAAAGGTTCAAGCCATCAGGTTGCAAAGATATAGAGATTCGAAAATTAGACTTTGTGGCAAAAACTCAGTTCCTTTAGGGTAGAAAATTATTTGAACTGGGTCAGTTAAAAGATGTGTTTAATGCTGCCAAGTACCCATCCTTTTAGAAGAATTTAATTATAAAACAGAAAGGGATAATGATTCGTTTTAATTCAAAAGAATTTAGCTTTACATGAAAGAAGCTTTAAATATATATTATATATATCATTAATGACATCAAAACAAGTTTTCCTTTATGAATCTTTTTCTCTTAAACTGAAGAAGAAACTAGCATAATTTTATTAAACTCTCTGGTTACAGAATACAGGCCAATTCTTAAAAGTCTATTTTTTAATGTTCAATAAACCAAAACAAGTTACAACAAAATAATAATTTAACATTTATAAACGCGTTATTACATTACATTTGATAAAAAAAAGTATTAAATATTTTCCCGCATTGGTAATATTTCTCTGCTTAAGGAGGCTCTCACAAAACATCCAAACAACTTTGAACCCGATATTTAGAAAATTTGACTTTTTTACTTTACAATGGAGGACAAATTTAAAGTTTAAAAGCTGGAACCGTATATAAAAAAAGACCTTCTATTATTTATTAATACAACTGGTCAGAAACCATAATTTAAATTTTTTTTAATCATTTTTGGGAGAAAATATTTGACACTGTTTAACCTGTTTAAGGGAGACCTGAAATCTTTTTTCTGTGTCGATCGAGTATTCATTGTTGCTCCGGGGATTATCAAATGTCAGACAGTAAGTAAGAAATTGGAAGATTTTCTTAAAAAATATTGTGGATTGTTTACCCAATTAAGTCCAAATGAAAAAAATCGACTTTTAAAAATCACTCTGTAGGATCAACTTTTTTTAAAATCATAATTTCGAATTTTACCTACGCAGATCACTGTAAGAGTGAGAATGCTTGATGTACAGAGGAACACATCACAAAATATCCAACCTGTGAATACACAGACCATAGATTAATTAAGATAACAGATAACACACTAGATGTTGTCTTTTCAAGATTTGGATGAGACTCGTTCACAATGAGCCAAGCTGGATATCTCCTTTATTGGATAATATATACAGGGTGTCCCACGAAACATGACAATTAGTGAATGGTTTTGAATGTCTTCTTCCATATATTATATTATATATTAAAAACTTGTTGCAGTTTATTTCGTTAACACAATCTTTTACTCAAATATATTTTACTTTGAAATCAATTTTACTGTAAAATAACTGCCATGTTATATTTCATATTAATGATAATTAATCTCTTTTGTGTCAAAGAACTTAACAAATTATGGAAGAAGACATTTAAAACTATTCACCAACTATCATGTTTCGTGGGACACCTTGTATCTGACCAAAGGAGATAACCAGCTCAATAGAGGATGGTTTATTGTACATGATAGAGTAATAGCGTCGACAATACGGTTTTAATACAAGTATTTCTTTTATTTGCTATTTTGATCTTGCTTTCATTTTGAAAGACCTAATATACCCTGAAAGACCTGAAAGACCTGAAAGACCTGAAAGACCTGAAAAACCTGAAAGACCTGAAAGACCTGAAAGACCTGAAAGACCTGAAAGGCCTGTAAGACCTGAAAGACCTGAAAGACCTGAAAGACCTGAAAGACCTGAAAGACCTGAAAGGCCTGAAAGACCTGAAAGATCTGAAAGACCTGAAAGACCTGAAAGACCTGAAAGACCTGAAAGACCTGAAAGACCTGAAAGACCTGAAAGACCTGAAAGACCTGAAAGACTTTAAAGATCTGAAAGACCTGAAAAACCTGAAAGACCTGAAAGACCCGAAAGACCTGAAAGACCTGAAAGACCTGAAAGACCTGAAAGACCTGCAAGACCTGAAAGACCTGAAAGACCTGAAAGTCCTGTAAAACCCACCTAAGCAAGAAGTTTTTGATATCGTCCATCCTCCTGCGGTGAGTTGATATAATGCTCCAGGCATAACTATCAGAGATATCAGAAGATCTAGGGGTTATATCATCTACATTTATTGAAACAAGATTTCAGATATAATTTGATAATTTTGAACGAATATTCAAGTTTAAATAGTGTATCTTTATTTATCACTAGCTGACAGGCAACAAATATGTGATTGTCTTATTTTATTATATATATAAAAAAAGAAGAGTTTAGCTGTATAGAAATAATAAAAATAAAAATAAAGAATTTGGAAGCTATAGTTTCCAGAATTTGGGTGTTTAAAGGGAGTGACCGGCAATGTATGGTGGTTGAACTAAATATGTAGTATTGTGGACATTATTATTATTATATATAGTATTAGGATTCATTTGAGACATATAAAACGTTTCAACGACGTATAATTACTGAGTTTGAGTGCAAAGTCGACGTCCAAAATTATGAGTTTGAGTGGTTATTTTTTAATTATTAAATAACGACGACCAAAAATGTAAACAAAATTCTACTGTAAACTAATAAGTTGTTCAGGAACAGGTTGAGAAAATAAAAATTAACTCTTATCATCGAAAATAAGAAATCTTATTCAATTATTAGTTTCTGTAATCTCTCAATTATTCACAAAGATTTTCTGAAATTTTTATTAAAAAGACGTCATTTGCAGAATTTGTAGAAATCTGCGAACAAATTCATAGAAAATAAGAAATTCAATATTATGATTAAAACGAAATCATTGATTGTAACATTGATTTATTGACAAATTTCTGTTGAGAAATATGTTCCTAAATACATCTAATTAGTTTACAGTAAAATTTTTACTTTATTTTTCGTCGTCGTTGTTCAATAGTTTTAAAAAACCGATTCTGAAAACGTACCCACCCAAATTCATGATTTTGATTGTCGATTTTGCACTCAAACTCATTAATTACTCATCGTTGAAACGTTTTATATGCCTTAAATGAATCCTAAAAAGATTTTCTACAATACTGCATACTCAGTTCAACCACTATACATTGCCGGTCACTCCCTTTAAATAAAATGGAAAAATGTCACAAAAACAGATATTGGCATAGTTATCATACCTCTGTGTTTGGGTCAGGGAGTAAGAAATAGAAGGGAGATATAACTGACGCGGCCAGCCCTACCATATGATTATACATGATTTGCAGACGGTACTTCATTTGAATAAGAAATATGTGTCTGATGTACATTCACTGCGTATACAATAACCTATTCTGAATATTTCTTATACAATTGGAGTACCCGTCTACAGAGCATGTATAATCATATGGCAGGGCGGGCCGCGTCAGTTGTATCTCCCTTCTGTTCCTTACTCCCTGGTTTGGGCACCAACAATATTTAAAGACGTGTCTGTTGGCGCCCATATCAATCTTTTAGTATTTAAAGTCAACAGCACAATTGATATTAAAGGACAATACTGTGTTTTTCTAAACCTTATATCGTTGCAACCTAATCAAGAAAACTTTGATTTTTCAAACTGCAAGATCAAATGTTTACACCATCAGATTACAAAGATAAAGATACAAAGTAAGAGTTTGAGTTCAGTTTCCTTGAATTTGCTTGGATTTAGATAAAATATCTTTATGTGAAAGTTCCAATGGTGATTGTGATGTATTCCTGTTAGAGCTAGAGAAAGAAGAAGTAGGTTTCCAGGTTGTCTACATTAATATCAGCCATATTTTCAAACTATAGAAGCTTTTTATAAAGAAACTGGAATGGGGGGGGGGCTAGGGCGGTCCTGTAAAAATTGTTCAGACGTGGTCTTTTTCTTTTGAATAGATATATAAATAACATTATTTCACCTGACGCTAAAAAAATTGATTTTTGGCCATTTTTGATCATTTTTAGCCATTTCTTTAAACTTTTGTAAAATCCTAAGTTGTTGACTGAGAATAATGTTTTATAAGAATAAAATAAAATAAAAATGATCCTTATCCCAAAATTGTTCAGTCTTATATCAATGAACAAGGAATCAAAAATATTCCAAAGATATTAGAATTTAAATTAATTTAAGATTTGAGAACTGTCAACATAATTTAGATGGATTGTTTTTTAAACCTGTAGTACAAATCTTGAAAATATTTCAGCCTTCTATCTTCAAATCGACTTGTGCATAGATGAACAAGAAATTGGCCGAAATATGTCCAAATTTTTACAACAAAAACATTTAAGATCACTAAGAATAACGTTTACAGTTCCTTTAAAGGAATTGTCAGCGTTATTTCATGAGTCCCTCCATGCAAAGAAGTCAATGCCCGATTCAAAATAATCCCTTTAAAGCTTTGTCTGATCAAGTATAGAATTAGATGTATCAATATCTAGAATTATGAAAAATAAAAAATTTTCCATTGCGGTTTCTTCTGTTGGGAAACATTTTATGATTATCAGAAATAAGCACTTTTAAACCTAGGAAAAGAACAATATCTGCCATATTTTTTATCAGATAAAGGATTCAAGGTGGAAATCGGGCATTGCTATCTTTGCATGAAGGGTCACTTGAAATTACGCTTACAGTCCCTTTAAGCGTTGTTTTTAAAATCTTCAAAATATCTCCGTCTTTTATCTGAAAATCTTGTGCTCTTCTGCAGCATAGATGTACAAGAAAGTAGCCGAAAGGAATTGAGTTTTTGCCTCTAACTAATAATTTTTAATCACTTTATCTTTGCAACCTGAAGGTTAACATTTCAAATTTAGATTTGTTGATTCAACAGAATTTATAGCTTGAAATTGTGGCAAAGACTCAATTCCCTTGTCGCAATTTCTACAATATATTTTCAAGGGATAGATGTTAAAAAAGAGAGAAAAGGAGGACAATGACTGGTTTCCTGAGCTGTTTGACGAGGAGGACGGAGAGGACAACCAGGAGGTTCCCCAGGACAGAAAACAGGATTATAGAACAGATCAACAGGAACAAAGGGACAGGAAGTAACATCTTGAAATTTCTGAAATATTAAATATAAAGGGTGTTGAAAAAAACCATACACTTGACACTTTTTTCTCTTAAAGGCTAAATTATTTTCCTATCATAATGAAATTTATATCGCAGTGTCTTACGTTTGGACTGCACGGTTAAAAAATATCGGATTTGGTCAACCTTGTTTTGAAGAAATGCTCTGTATCTCTTGGGAAATGATTTGATCAGCTTACCCGGAGATAAAGAGCATTTACTCAGAGCAGGTTTGACCAAATCCGATAATTTTTAACCATGTAAAGTCCAAACTTCTGTGATATAAAATTCATTATGATCGGAAGATAATTAAGCCTTTGTGAGAAAAAGGTGTAAAGTGTTTTTTAACACCCTTTAAGTATCCCAATATACATTGGACTTAGGTAATAACTTGCTTGAGAACCCAGCGTTGCCCAGGGTACTCATAGTTACTCCCGCCGTTTACCCGCGCTTGGTCGTAAAGTACGATTTTAACTTTTTTTTATAAAAAACATTATAGAACATTACCGTGGTTTACACGAGTTCCCCAATCAAAATTTGATCAAGAGTTATGAGTTATGATCGGACATACAAACATTCAAACAAAGATTACTACTTTATAGATATATATATAAATATTATAACAATTATAACAAACAAAACCCTTCAATTTGTAGTATACGAAAAAGTGGGACCATATTTCACCCTGGACTAACCAGAGCTATACATAGATGTTAGATAAAAAAAAGTGTAAAAGAGAAACCGAAAGGTTGCTTGGGACTAGGACCGAACCAAGGATGTAATGCAAGGAAAGTTAATTGCAGGTGCGAACACTCTGCGTACATGTATTGAAACCAGTTCTCTCTGGGCGGAATTTGTAAACAATAATAGATGCATCATTGTTCGTTTAGTATCCGAGGAGGTTAAACGCATTTAATTTTGATAATATTAATAATTCACATAATAGTTTCTTATCACCAGAATATTTCATTGATTATTTCATGTGAAAGATGGATCCCATGTCAGGCTTCGACATCAGTCTTGTGTTTACATTACCACCCAGATACAGTAAACTGCAGTACAAAAGATGCGTACACCTCTGAAATAACTTTCCTTGCATTATAACCTTGGACCGAACAGTATACTAAGCGTGGTTTAGGCAAGTACATAGGAGATACTTCGAATCTTTTTTACATAATTTTTCTACTGATCAATGATTAAAAAGCATCATTTAAACTGACCCTTTATGCAAAGATGGCAATGCCCGATTCACTACGGTACCCTTAAAAGCTTTGTCTGAACAGTGTTTCAGCTTTTTATTTTCGTTTGCGGGTTATTTGCAATAGTAACAATTGCGCATTTTTTGTTCATAAGAAGCAACGGAGAAAATATCAGAATTAAACACTTTCGATTCAGGAAAACGACATTTCCACATTTTTAATCAGAATAAGATTTTGATGGTATCGTTGTAAATCGGGCATTGCCTTGCCATCTTTGCATGAAGGGTCACTTTAAATTACGCTTACAATCCCTTTAAGCCATTATTCAACAATTGCTGTTTTAAACAGTAAACAGTCCCATAAAGATCTAATATTTCTTTGAGGGCTTCAAAGTAATTACGTCCATCTTAGAGGAAACCATACTTTGATAATAGGTTTCTTTTCATTGTATAAATACTTAGTTTGTAGATGAGAAGATTAATAAAATATAAGCTTTTGCTTAGAAGAAAATGAACAATAGAAACCATAATTTGACGAAAATTAAAAAAAAATACAAATTTTAAAATTAATTGTGCATTACAAAGCCGAATCATTGCCTGTCTGTTTGTATATAAAAACACGTTAAAACGGTTCAACTGATCGAAGCGAAATTTCGATTTCTAAATTATTTATTAATAATTTACCAAAAAAATAGAAAAATCAGCAAAATTTAAAAAGTTCGCCACGTTGCTTGATTTTATTGTTCTTCTTTCTGTTTTTTTTAATTTAACAATTTTCAACTTTTTTTTGCGTTCATCATGCTTTCCTGAGAGGTGAGGGGGAAACGTTTTATCCCATTAAGATACCGGAGAGTTTAACAAATATATTTTCAATACTACATACACGCCATTTTAGTAAACAAGTACAGTGTAAAGTACACAGTACAAAGTAAAGTACACAGTACTGAGTTAAGTACACAGTACAGAGTAAAGTACACAGTACAGAGAAGAGTACACAGTACAGAGTAAAGTACACAGTACAGTGAAAATTACACAGTACAGTGTAAAGTACATAGTACAATGTGAAGTACACAAAACAATTTAAAGTCACAGTACAGTGAAAGGTACATAGTAAAGTGAAAGTACACAGTACAGTAAAAAGTACACAGTGCAGTGTGAAGTACACAGTACAGTGTAAAGTACACAGTGCAGTGTAAAGTACCCAGTACAGTGTAAAGACCACAGTATAGTGTAAAGTACACGGTACAGTGTAAAGTACACAGTGCAGTGTAAAGACCACAGTATAGTGTATTGTACACAGTTCAGTGTAAAGACCACAGTATAGTGTAAAGTATACAGTTCAGTGTAAAGTACACAGTACAGTGTAAAGACCACAGTATAGTGTAAAGTACACAGTGCAGTGTAAAGACCACAATATAGTGTATAGTACACAGTACAGTGTAAAGTACACAGTATAGTGTAAAGTACACAGTTCAGTGTAAAGTACACAGTACAGTGTAAATTACACAGAACAGTTTAAGTACATAGTACAATGTAAAGTACACAGAACAATGTAATGTCACAGTACAGTGAAAGGTACACAGTACAGTGAAAAGTACACAGTACACAGTGCAGTGTAAAGTACTCAGTACCGTGTAAAGTACACAGTACAGTGTAAAGACCACAGTATAGTGTAAAGTACACAGTTCAGTGTAAAGTACACAGTACAGTGTAAATTACACAGAACAGTTTAAGTACATAGTACAATGTAAAGTACACAGAACAATGTAATGTCACAGTACAGTGAAAGGTACACAGTACAGTGAAAAGTACACAGTACAGAGTAAAGTACAGAGTACTGTGTAAAGTACACAGTACAGAGAAAAGTACACAGTACAGTGTAAAGACCACGGTATAGTTTAAAGTACACAGTACAATGTAAAGTACACAGTACAGTGTAAAGTACAAAGTACAAGGTAAAGTACACAGAACAATGTAAAGTACACAATTCAGTGTAAAGTACACAGTACAGTGTAAAGACCACAGTATAGTGTAAAGTACACAGTACAGTGTAAAAAACACAGTACAGAGAAAAGTACACAGTACAGTGAAAAGTGCACAGTATAGTTTAAAGTACATAGTACAGTGTAATGTACACACTACACCTTTATGTACAATGTACATAGTTAACTAATATATCGATAATGTACTCAAAAAAAAGTGTAAAGTCAAAGTTAATCAAATTTAAAAGTGTTCTTTAATAATTTAGGAATCTCAAAAAACTATTTATTTTGATCAGATATTGAATCAGATATTGAATCAGATATTGAATCAGATATTGAATCAGATATTGAATCAGATATTGAATCAATCAGATATTGAATCAGATATTGAATCAGATATTGAATCAGATATTGAATCAGATATTGAATCAGATATTGAATCAATGTTGATCAAGTGAAAATATTTCTAAACTGAAAATAAAAGTTTAAAAGTTTAAATGATGTAGGCGATAAAAAATGTAATTTCTAGAGAATTTAAGAGTGATACAATTTTTTTTTATCCTAAACACAAATAAAGACTTACTGAATAACAGGTTAATATCATGGGCTAAATAACCCCGGATAAACTGAACTGTATTATTGCATAAATTAAACTCTAAATTCCACTTGCAAGCTAAAAATAATATATGTCACCTTGAATAAATAGAATATTTGTGAATATAAATATTCTATAGTACTCGGAGAACTGATAAATTATTTACATTTATTAGCACATGTGTAAAAATATCATTTCCTTCATTCTCTCCTACCCCCTTTGACCTTTATCCTCCCCTCCTTTCATGTTCCCCTTTCTCCCCTTTCAGCTTTATCCTCCCCCCATTTCATGTCCCCCTTTCTTCCCTTTCAGATTTATCCTTCCGCCCTTTCTTCCCTCTAAGCTTTATCCTTCCCCCTTTCATGTCCCGCTTTGTTCCCCACCAGCTTTATCCTTTCCCCCTTTCATGTCCCCCTTTAGCTTTGTTCTTCCCCTTTTACCCCCTCTATCCCTCCTCTACCCCCTCCTTCCCCCTTTAACCCCCATCCTTCACCCTTTCACCTCCCTCTTTTTCCCCCATTCACCTCCCTCCTTATCCCCTTTCACCTCCCTTCTTTACCCTTTCCATCTCCATCCCCACGTGGATTTAACGGTTCTGTCAATATCCCAGAAAGCTGTGACTTTCGATCACAATTTGACCCATTAAACATAATTTGTTAGCCTTTTTTATTAAATACTTCTTTGTTGGCATATGCATTTTGAATGAAAATAAACAAATCCATAAAGTAAATTATTATTGAATCAAAGACCAAAACACGTTTGATTTAAAATATAAGAAACCGAATGCTATTCACTCACTCACGCCATCCCATCCATCTCATCCATGCCATCCATCCTATCCATGCCATCCATGCCATCCATGCCATCCATGCCATCACCATCCCATCCATCCCATCCATCCCTACCATCCCATCCATCCCATCCATCCCATCCATCCCATCCATCCCATCCATCCCATCCATCCCATCCATCCCATTCATCCCATCCGTCCCATCCGTCCCTTTCTATATTCTGAATGCTGAACTGAAAGCTATGTAGAACTGCTCTTTACAAAGAATAAATTCCCAAATGTGTTTTCCCACAATCTGTTTACAGTTTCATGTTTGAATGATTAGATATTTTGACATTGCAAAATATATGTATACCTTCCATCACATTGTTAGTTGTTTACAAATTATATATTGTAAAAATAAATGTTTAATCTTGTTTTAATCGC